AAAAAAAAAAAAAAAAAAAAAAAATTATATAAAATGAAAAAAAGAAAGAAAACCAAAAAAAAAATAACAATTAAATTGTTATTTATTAAAAATTAAATTATGATATGTAAATAAAACGATATAATTTAACCATTAAAAATAAAATGTAATTAAGTTATTATGATGGAAAAAAACATAAAATTCCAAATTACTTTTTAATAAAACAAATTATATTTTAAAAAAAAAAAAAAAAAAAAAAAAAAAAAACAATATAAAAATACGTGAATTATGTTAAAATTTAACAAAAAAAAAAAAAAAAAGTTGAAACACTATTTGAAATAATATTTGAGATATAAAATAAATAAAAAATATATAAAATATTCTCTTTATAGATCATTGATAAGCTTAAAAGATATACATAATATAAAATTTCTAGTTAATTTAAAATGTCAAAAAATATTGATGATTTGTTTGACGTTTTTGAGGAGAAAGATGTCGAAAAAATTCATATAAAAAATGAAGATGATAAATTAGCAAATAACGATGTAGAAATAAATAATAAAAAAAAAACTTGTGTAAAACATGAAGAGGATCAAGAAAAAAATAATAGAGAGATATATGAGAACAATAAAGCAACAGAAATAATAAATGATATAAAAAAAAAGGATAACCATTCTAATAAGGAAAACTTATCTAATGAAGAAAATTATAAAATAAATATCGAAAACTTAATTAATATAAAAAAAAGAGACAATAAAGTAAAAATGCAAATTAAAGAAGAAATATATAGCGATATACAAAATTTTGATGGTACTACTAAAAATGTAAATAAAATAAGAAAAATTTCTGAAGAGAAAAAAAAAATTCTAGCTAATTCAGAAGTTGAAGAAATTTTAATAGAAAACAGTAAAACAATAAACAATGATGATGTTTTAGTTTTAGAAGAATTTGGTAGTGATGTTAATTGTATTCATAAATGTGTAAGACCAAGAAGCTATGTTCATAATAAACTAAGTACTCCTTTGACTCCTGCTAGAACGTATAAATTTGAATTAGATACTTTTCAAAAAAAATCGATAGAATGTTTAGAAATGAATGAAAGTGTACTGGTATCAGCTCATACTTCTGCAGGAAAAACCGTTATAGCAGAATATGCTATAGCACTAGGGTTGAGAGATAAACAGAGAGTAATTTACACAAGTCCAATTAAAGCCCTAAGTAATCAAAAATATAGAGACTTAAGTGAAGAATTTAAAGATGTAGGATTAATTACTGGTGATATTTCAATAAATCCAGAAGCATCTATTATTGTTATGACTACAGAAATATTAAGATCTATGTTATACAGAGGATCTTCTTTAACAAAAGAAGTAAAATGGGTTATTTTTGATGAAATACATTATATGAGAGATAGGGATAGGGGTGTAATATGGGAAGAAACGATTATTTTATTACCATTAATGGTTCGATTTATTTTTTTAAGCGCTACTATACCTAATGGAATTCAATTTGCTGAATGGGTTAGTAGCATTAAAAGTCAAGCTTGTCATATTATATACACAGATTACAGACCAACCCCACTACAGCATTATATTTATCCAACATCTAGTGAAAGTGTTTTTTTAATATGTGATGAAAATAAAGAATTTAAAAAAGATAATTTTATTAAAGCTGTTAATGCAATCAAAGAAAAAACGAATACATCAGAAGATGGTCATCACAATGTAAATAAATACACCAAAAAAATGAGAAAAAATACTTTCGATATTGAAAAAATTGTTCAAATGTGTCACTCCCGTAATTATACTCCATTAATCATCTTTGCATTTTCTAAAAAGGAATGTGAAGTAAATGCAACAACAATGCATAAAATTGATTTAACAGATGATACAGAAAAAGAAATAATAAAAGAATTGTATGAAAATGCTATTCAAATTTTAGCAGATGATGATAGAGCACTACCTCAAGTTCAATTTATTCTACCTCTATTATTAAGAGGAATTGGAATACATCATGGTGGGTTATTACCTATTATTAAGGAAATAATAGAAATCATGTTTCAAGAATCTTTGTTAAAAGTTTTATTTAGCACAGAAACCTTTTCAATGGGTATAAATATGCCTGCGAAAACTGTTGTATTTACCTCATTGAAAAAATTTGATGGATTAGAAAAAAGGTTAATTACATCTGGAGAATATATTCAAATGGCAGGAAGGGCAGGTAGAAGGGGTTTAGATGACAGAGGTATTGTTATTATAATGTTAGATAGTCCTTTACATTGGAGAGAAGCAGAAAAATTATTTGTAGGTGAAGCCAATAGATTGGTGAGCCAATTTCATTTAGGTTATAATATGATTTTGAATTTGTTAAGAATAGAAGGAATAACTCCTGAATTTATGATTGAAAGATCCTTTATCCAATATCAAACAAAAAAAAATCTTTTTCAAAAAATTTTAGCAAAAAAAAAAGTAGAAGAAAAAATAAAAGAAATTCACGATTTTTTGGTTAGTATTTATATAGATGAAAATGATCAGGAAATATGTAAAGAAGATCTTCTAAAAAAAATTATGTCAAATAATTATGCAAAAGCAGAACAAAGAAAAAATAATGTTATAATAGATAAAGAAAGTAAAAAACATATACATAAAGAAGAAATAAAAATGGAACATATAAATAATGAAGAGAAAGAAAAGACAGAAAGCAAAGAAAAAAATATACTCGACTCTGAGAAAGATATGACGACAAAAGAAATTACCCATGAAATGAATACATTAAATAATAACGATGATAATAACAATATTATTAATAAAGATTTAAAAGATTATAACACTGTTTTTTCATATATATCTAATTATTATATAATTAGACATAAATTAATAGAACTAGGAGAATCTTATAGATCTATATTAACAATGCAAAAAAATATAACCCCCTATTTGGTTCTAGGTAGATTACTATATTTAGTAGAAGACGATTTAAAGTGGGGATGGTGTATTTGTATAGAAGGTAGAATTATTGAAGGAAAAAATAGTGTTAATAATAATAGTAGTAATCATAATTTCAATAAAAACAACAATAATGAAATGAACGACAGTGATATATTAGTTGTCGATTGCCTTGTACCATATGATCATAATAAAAAAAGAAAATTAGTACAAAGCGATGATGAAAAGGAAAACGAAAAAAATGAATATATCCCAGCAAAAGATAGATTAAAAGCTAAATGGAAACTTATGAGTTTTTATATTAAATGTATTTATCAAATATCAGCTGTTGTTTTAAGCATACACGAATTTGCTAATAATAAAAATGAAGAAGAAATTGCAAATGTGAAAATTAAATATAATACCATGGTGAATTGCTTAAAGGGAGAAAAAAATATACCAATAATAAACCCATATCAAATGGGTATAAAAGATGAAAATTTTTTAACTATTGTAAAAAATATTAATTTTCATGAAAATTTATTAAAAAATAATAAATTGCTAAATAATAAAAACTTAAACAAGTATTATCAAATGTATAATAAATATGTTGCTTTACAGTTTGAAAAAAATGTTTTGGAAGCAAATATTGAAAAATGCAGATTTATTGTTCTTAAAAAAGAATTAAAAAATATGCTAATTTTGTTGGAGAGCTTAAATTATATTGAAGTTACCTATAATTTAGAAAATTTTAAAAATGAAAAAGACATGAAAAGTATTGAAGATTCTACAGAAGATTTAAAGAACGAACAAAAAGTTGATGTAAAACAGGAGTTAACTAATAATAATTCTTCTGAAGAAAAAAATTATATTGTTACAATGAAAGGACAAATAGCAAGTGCAATTTTAAGTGTTGATGAATTAGTTATATCAGAATTATTTTTCTCAAATTTTTTTAGTAAATATAATTATGATTATATATGTGCTTTTTTGTCATGTTTTGTTTACGATGAATCAACAAATAAAGAAATTTCTATTAATGATCCTATATTAATAGAAGGATATCAACAGATAATTAAAACTGCAACTAATGTAGCTAATAAAATGAATCAATGTGGAATGAATATCAATTTGAAAGATTATTTAGATAAATTTAAATCAGCCATTATGCCTATTGTTTTATTATGGGCAAGAGGTCATTCTTTTATGGAGATTTTAACAGATTCTCAAATATATGAAGGATCAATAATAAGAACTTTAAGGTAAAAAAAAAAAAAAGTCATAAAAATAGTTATGTAAATAATGTAATTTATATAAATATATTTTTATTTATACAGACGCTTAGATGAACTACTAAGACAAATGATATGTGCCTTTAGAGGAATAAATAATGACAATATGTGTGAAATTTTAACAGCAGCAACTAAAAAGTTAAGACGTGGTATCCCATTTTCCCCATCTTTGTATTTATAAGTTTGTTTTTATTTTTTGTATTATTTTATACATTTTTAATATATGTACCTAAATACATAAAAAATTTCAAATTTTTTAAGTTTTTGAAAATATTTCATCATTTTAATTTTTAAAATTTAATAAATTTTCAAATTCATAATATTATATCAGTATCTAATTAAAAAAAATAAAATTTTATATGTAACGTAACATTTTGCGTTGTGTATTAAGAATTTTTTTTTTTTTATTATTAACTTTTTCACTTATATAATCAAAAATTATAATTACAATTATAATTAAAAAAGAAAAAAGAAAATATTATAATTAAAAAAATTATTTTAGTATTTAATGCATATAGAAATAACATCTGTTATGTCAATTTTTTAAATATATAAAATAATTTGTTTAAAAAAAAATAATAGGATATATACTTTTATAAACAGTTTACCATAATCCAATAATAAATTTAACAAAAGTATTTTAATTAGATTATATCATCAATATAATTTTTAAAAATTTTAAATAAAAAAATCCCTTAAAAAAAATATTAAAAAGTATATTCATTATTAATCATACTTTAAATTTCAAAAAAAAAAATAAAATATACATTATTATTAAAAAAGAAAAAAAATTAAAATGAAATATAACAATAATTTTTTAATAAATATTAAGCTCTCCTTAAATTTTTTTTTTTTTTTTTTTTTTTTTTTTTAATTTAGATTAAAATAAATGCATTTTTCAATTTCACATATACATGTTCTTTTATTTTTTTTTCTTTTTATTTATCATTAAAAGAACATTCCTTCATTAATTAAAGTGTAATTTTTTAAAAATTAAAAAATGTTTTTATCCCTTTTTTTTAATATATAAGAAAATAATTTTTTTTTTTTTTTTTTTAACTAAAATTATCTTTTATTTTTTTTTTTAAAAAAATAGCATAAACAATACTAATTAAAATATTTGTGTAGTATTTTTTTTTTTTTTTTTTTCTTTTTAAATTGGTTATAATTATTGACACCGACATTTATATTTTAAAACTTAAATGAATATGCTTTTTGTATTTTAAGTCTAATACATATGTACATATTCGTTTTATATAAAATTTTGTAAATTTTTATAAATATTAAAAAGCTTTAAAATGGCAGAAGATATTTTAAAATCTGTTCATAGCAATTTTAAGTATGTTCTTATTAGTTGTGATATAAATAATGAAGTGAAAGAACTAAATTTTAAAGGAAGTGAAGAAAAATTTCAAAATACTTTAGCTTCCTACTTTAGAAGAATTATTTTTAATGAAAAAGGAAAAAATGAATTAAAAGAAACAATAAAAGAAAAATTAGAAAGCAATAAAGAAGAAAATAAAGAAAATAAAGAGAAAGATGATTTAAATAAAATATCACCAGATATAATAAATAATGCAATTGAAACTTCTCAAACATATCAAATAATACCATTAACTTTACCAACAGAAGAAAATGATTATTACGCTGTTAATTGTTATATTGATGATGTAGGAAGAATAAAACAATTGCCTTATAATAGTAGAGCATCAAGAATATGTAACACTGATATTTATGGAGATGCTTTTTTATCAAAAACATATGATAATGAAGATTTTAAAAGGTGTGATTTTACTATAAAAGAATATGAAGAGTTCTTAAAAAATCCACCAAAAAGTGCAAACAGGTACAAATTTATTTTTCATATATTATTTCTTTAAGATAAAGAAGTATATTCTGAAAAATTTTAAATTTTATTAATTGAATTAATATAAAAACACATCAAAAAACAATATTTTTCGTTTTATTTGTAAAAATTTTATAAAAATTGATTTTACTTTTTTTTTTTTTTTCTCTTTATGTGATAATAGATGGGATCAAGCACAAGCTATGCAAGACTTGTTAAGTCAAATGAAGTCAAAAAAGGATGGAGATAATTTAAATATTTCAAACACAAAAATTAACAAATGTGAGAACTGCTATGAGGTATGTTTATTTTTCCTTCAATATGAAAACTTTATATTTTTAAAATACATAAAAAAAAAAATATATTTTAATTATTTTTGTTGTACATTACCATATATTTGTATATTTTTTGTTTATTCCATTTCTTCACACTTTTATTTATTTTCTTTAATATTGTATATATATATATGTGTGTGTATGTTTTTTTTTTTTTTTTTTTTTTAAAGGAAAAGAATTTAAAAAGATGTGGAAAATGTAAAAAAGTTTATTACTGCTCTATAGAATGCCAGAAAAATGACTTTGTATTTCACAAAAGAATATGTTCATGAAATTTTTTATTTTTTTTTATAATCTTATATGAAATATTTCTTTTTTTTTTAATATACTGTTTTGTTAAGAAAAAATTAAAATACCTTTTTCACTATAGAATATAGGAAATTTAAAATGATGACATTCCAAATACTTATAACCTTATGTTTTTATATATTTGTGTGAATAAAAAGACTAATAAACAAATAATTAAAATAAAATGAAATAATGAAAAATAAATCTTAAGTTTTTTATTTTTTAACTTGTTATTATTAACACATAATAAATTTAAGAAAAATTTTAAATTATAAAATATTAGCATTTTAAACTCATAGTTTTGAAATAAACATAAAAACTATTAACTTTAATCTCAATGTATTTTATAAAAAAAAAAAAAAAAATACTTCACAAAAAATTAAAAATAATTTTTTTTTTCTTTTTTATAATTATGCAAATTAAAAGGGTGAAAATTTCTTAGTGTAAAAGAATGTGAAATTTTCTTAAAATAATTTTTTTTTTTTTTTTTTTATCATCTTTAGTAATGAATTATAAAAATACCATAACAATATTTGAAAATAGATTAAAAGTAGATAATTCATTTATACTATTATATATTTTTTGAAAAAGTGTATTATTTAATTTAGTTTAAAATATTAAGTGTAACGTTATGTATGTGGTGCAAAACAAATTTTGAAATAAGAAAAAGTAAACCTGAAAAAATAAATTAAAAAATACATGAAATATAATGAAAACAATGTACAGTCACAAATGAAAAAAAAATAAAATTTTCAGATAATCGCTATTTCCATCATAATTAATTATATATATTTTTTTAAAAAAAAATAAAATTTTACTTGAAAAAATTTACAAGCAAATGTTTAGAAATATTTTTGTTTAATATAAAAATATTCATTAATAAATATCAATTAATAAAAATGAAATTACGTTTTTACAATTTTTTCTTAATATTATATTTTTTTTTATGTATATGCTATGGGAAAAAAGTACTTTTTATTAATATTTTAAATGGAATAAATGTTAATTATAATAAAAAGCATATAAATAAGAACGTTTCTTATAATGACAATTTTTCAAATCAAGCATTATTTTTAAATAAAAATGTAACACAACAAAATAAAACAAAAGAAATTAACCCTGTAAAAGTTGATGAAACAAATGAAAATATATTAAGGCAATATATATATACCTTGTCACATTTAACTATATTTGATACCGATAGAGAAAAAGATATTCCTTTAAATATTTCTTTATTATTAAAAGCTTGTTTAGCTTCTCATAATTATATTAAAAATGTTGAAATATATACCTCTCAAGTGCAAAATAAAGAAGTGTGCTCATTTATATATGAAAATTCAAAAGATTTTGAAAACTTTTTTAATATACATGTCTCAAAATATAGTGAATTTTTTAATAATCCAAAGATAAGTGAAACTTTAAAATTATATATAAATGATAAAAATTTATATGAAAATGAATTAGAAATTTATAATAAAATAAATAAAAATACCACGTTAAGAAAAGATATTTTACAAGATATCTTATTTGAGTGTATAAGAACAAACAAAATTGTTCAATATTCTCTTGCAGTCAATAAATTTAACTTATTTTCTTATCATACATTATCAAAAGTTTTTATGTATTTCAAAAGTAATGATCTTTATTATGATATATTTTTAAATAATATTAAAAAAATAAAATACTATTATGGGACAAAAAATATAAAAGAAGAAGACAAAAAAAAAATATACAGTATTATAGACAATTATTTATACATTTTAAATTATATGAATGAAATGTTTGAAAATGGCAATATTTTATAATGAATTCAAAAAAGAGAACAAAGAAGTCAATTATTCAAAATAATTTATTTTTAAAGAAATATTATAAATATGCTATATATTCTTAAAAAAAGTATAATAAAAATAATTAAAGGTAACTTTCTACAGTCAAACTATAAAAGGATACTTATTTAAAAATATTATTATAAAATTAATATGTAAAAACAATTGCTAAATTATCTGACACAAATGATCAATAAAATTTTTAAATGTATTTTTATAAAGTTGCTATATATAGCACATTTATGAATCATAATAGAAAATAACGTTTACTTTTTTTTTTTTTTTTTTTTTTTTTTTTTTTTAAAAAACAAATGTATTCATTATAAATTCAAAAATTAAATTTTTTTAAAATTTTAAAATAAATATTATGCAAAATTTCTGATGCATATCATTTAAAACTAATGATAAATTAAAAATTAAACAAACTAAAATAAAATATAATAAAATTAAAAATTATAATATTTTTTTTCAAAATAATTTTTTATATACAATTTTATAACTTTATTTTTACAATTTTTTTAAGATTTTTTTTATAATATAAATATAATGTATATATATATATATATATATTTATATTACTAAAGAATATTTACTTATGAATTATAAAAAAAATTATTATTTTAGTTAAAATTTTATGCAATACAAAAAAAGAATAAGACATGTATTTATGAAGGAAATTATAATGCATTAATATATTTATTTTGATAAAATTTTTAAATAAAAAAAACAAGTTTTTTTATAAAAATTTTGTTGTATCAATTATGAATTTAATAGAATAATTATCAACTAATCTTTCTTTTGTAAAATTTGTTCTTGTATATACTCAGGAACTAAAGAATATTTATGAAGAGTCATGGTATAATTACCTAAAATTAAAAAAAAAAAAAAAATATTGTAATTTTAAAATAAAGCAATTAATATTTTACTTAAAATATTACAAATAACTTAAAATGTATTATGAATTATTAATTTTTTTTTTTTTTTTTTTTTTTTATTTCAATAAAAATAATAATTAAATAATTATAAATATAAGTGTTCTAACCTCTTCCTTTTGTTATTTTCCGTAAATCACTAACATAAGATAAAATAGATGCCATAGGAACTCTAGCATTTATTTCTTTAGTGTATTCATCACCTAAATTAAAATGAAGTATATATATATATATATATATATATATATATTGATATTTAATAAATAAAAATATTATTTTTATTTTCATTAATTATTTTTTACTTTCATCTATATGCTGTATTTTTCCCCTTTTCTTTACCAAATCGCTAATAACATCTCCTAAATATTCTGTAGGTACTGTTACATTTAACTACGAAAATATACACACACATATATATATATATATTAATTAATAAAAATAATTTTATTAAAATATAGAAAAATATATTTTTTTTTTATATTACATTCATTATTGGTTCCATCAATCTAATAGTAGTTTTTTTAGCTGCTTCCCTAATAGCTAACCCTGCTGCTAATTTAAATGCGTGTTCATTACTATCAACTGGGTGAAATGAGCCATCTACAATTGTAACAATAATATTTATTATTGGAGAATTAAAAATAACACCTAAATTACATTGTTCTTTTATTCCAGTATATATTGCATCAAAATATCCAGACGGTATAGCCCCACATGTAATTTCATTTTTTATAATAATGTTATTATTTACTTCTGAAGTATCAATATTCATACTATTCCTATCCACATTATCTACAGAATTTTCATCCTCTTTTTTTTCTTTTCCATTTTCCTTTTTTATTTCTTCTTCTTTTTCATCTTCTTCATCAAAATAATTGTACATAGGTTCAATTTTTATATACACATCACCATATTGTCCTCTTCCACCTGACTGTTTAATATACTTTCCTCTTGCTTGAACAGTTTCAACAAATGTTTCTTTATAAGAAATTTGTGGTTTCCCGTAAATTATAGGAATATTAAAATCTTTTTGAATTTTGTTAATTATAATTTGTAAATGTAATTCTCCAACTCCACTTATAAGTAAATCCTTTGTATCTTGATTTATGTGATAAAAAAAAGAATGATCTTCTTTTTTAATTTTTATTAATGCATTAATTAACTTTTCATATTCATTTTTATTTTTATTATATATATAAAAACTAATAATAGGTGGAATATCTTTAATTTTTTTTAATTCTACTCTTAAATAAGTATTACTTAAGGTATCACCAATTTGTGTATCTTTTAACCCAACAATTGCAACAATATCACCAACTTTTGCATTTTCTAATTCATATCTTTCACTGGAATGTATAAAAAATATCTTGGTCACTTTTTCACTTTTTTTAGTTCTATTATTATAAATAAAATCACCTCTATTTAATTGTCCTTCATATATCCTTACATAGTTAATATTTCCTAAATGCTGATCATTCATAATTTTATAAATTAATCCTACAAATTTTCTCTTATAATTCTTTATATTTAATGGATTTAATTCTTCTGTTATAAAATTACTATAATTTATCTCTTCCTTAACATTATTTTCAAAATTATTTATGCTAACTTTTTTATTTTTTTCAGTATTAAAATCCAAATATTTATTTTCTTTTTTCGTAATATCTTCTTCATGAATGTTATTTGATTCATATTCTTTATTTGTACTTTCTTTTAGGTCTACATTCTTTCTATCATTTAAATATTTACATTCTCCTATTTTTTCATTTTCATTTAAATTTTCATGTTTACTTTCATTAAAATTTGATTTAATTGCTTCCGTTGCATATTTTTTTGTTTGACTTTTTATCTTATCATTCGACAAATGATCATATAATAACTTTTCTCCTCTTTTATTTATATCATAAAAATGTATGATTTGATTCTTATAATTTTTAATTGAATCAATAGGTGAAGGTAAATATTTGACTACCATATCCAATAACATATGTATGTTCTTATTTTTTAAAGCTGAACCACACATAACTACATTATATTTTTCTTCAACTACTAATTTTCTGATATAATATTCAATTTCCTGAACATTCATAATTTTATCATTTAAATAATTATCAAGAAATGTATTAAATTTTTCAGCTATTTGTTCATATAAAATATTTTTATATTTCAAGAATAAACTATAATACTTTTGAGGAATATCTTCAAAAACAAAATCATGAGAATTTTTATATACAATCATTTTTTCTTTTAAAATATCAATAGTGCTAATAAATTTACTAATTTCAAAAACAGGAACATAAAGAATTAAAATTTTTCTATTTAATTTTCTTTTTATTTCATCAATACAAGAATCAAAATTAGCTCCAACTTTATCTAATTTATTTAAAAATATTATTCTACTGATATTGTATCTGTTAGCTTGTTTCCATACAGTTTCTGATTGAGATTCAACTCCTTCACTACTATCAAAAACAACAATTCCCCCATCTAAAACTCGCAAACTTTTTTCTACTTCTGCAGTAAAATCTACGTGACCTGGTGTATCAATTATGTTTATTCTAAAATTTTCTAAATTTTTTTCACTACCATTCCAGTAACAAGTAGTAACTGCTGCGTTAATAGTAATCCCCTTTTCTTTTTCTATTTCTAAATAGTCCATCGTTGATAATCCTTCATGAACTTCTCCTATTTTTTTTATTACATTTGTATAATACAATATTCGTTCTGTTGTTGTTGTTTTTCCTGCATCAATGTGAGCAATTATCCCTATATTTCTATAATTTTCTAATTCTACATTTTTATTTGAACAATTATTTAAATTTAAACGGAATATATTTATTTTATTTTTTTTCTTATTCCTTTTTTTAAATATACCTTCATGTTCATAATTTCTATTTACAATAAATAATTTAGGGTTTTTTTTTTTTCGTATATTTTTAGTTTTGTAACATAAATAATTTTTTTTCCAATTATTTAACGCATTTGTAACTTCAAATATGATTAACAATAACAACAAAAGATATATTGTTGAAAATTTACTTCTTTTCGATAAAAATAATTTTATCATTTCTGTTTTTACATTTTTTCATTTTTTTTTTTATTCTAATTTTTTTTTTTTTTTTTTAAGGTCTAATTACTTTTTATTTCTTATATTTAATATTAATATAAATAACTAATTTAAAAATAAAAGAAATGTAGTAATATAAAAAATATACCAATTATAAAAATATATAAAAGGAATATGTTTTATAAATAATATACTTATTAAACTAGTTTTTTTCAAAATTGTTTAAAACATATATTTTTGCAAATCCATTCAATAATATATTCATAAAATAATTAAAATATTAACTATATTCTTCTAATTAATAAAAAATTAAAGCTATGAGTATATTTTTTAAAAATCAATATATTTTACATAGTTGTAAAATTAAAATATATGTATTTTTTTTTTTTTTTTTTTTTTTTTTTTCTTTATTATTTATTCTTATTTTAATAAAAATAACTATATTTTTAAGTTATTTTTAGTTATTGCAACATTTTTATTTTTAAAAAAGAGTCCTATATTTTAATTTTAATTGTTTTGAGTTTTTAAGCAAAATCATGTTTTTCTCTTATAAATATACATAAACATATCATTTAATTAAACAAATAAAAAAAAAAACATTATTGAAATTTTTAGAGGATAAAAAAAAAAAAAATAAATAAAAATGTGTTGCTTTTTGAATGAAAAAAATAATGAAATCAAAATGTTTAAAAAAGAAGACTGTATATATTTATTTAATGAATAATGAATAATGAATAGAAATACAAACAAAAAATAATCAGATGTATTATAAAATATACACATATATATATGTATATATATATATATATTAAATTTAGAATAAATTAAAAAATAATAAAGAAAATTTATAAATGGGTATCCATATAAATAAGGACTATATCTTGTATGAAAATTTCCTTATATTTCGTTTTAAGTATGTTAAACATTGATAATCATATATATACAAAAATTTGTATTTTCATAAATGTATAAATTAAAAATAGAGAAATTATTATGAGTATTTTAAAGAAAAAATAGATAAAAAGTGTGAATAACAAATATATTAAATCGATAAAAATTCTTTATTACAATTATGAAAGAAAATCACACTAATTTTTATAATCTTAATAATTATAAAAAAAGCTTCACAAAAATAAATATTTTTAATAAACCATAATATTATGTATTTAAAAAAGAAAAAAAAAAATTAATCCTCATATTTACTAAGTTAACTACATAATACTTATCAATTTTATAAAATTTTACAAAATTCTTTTATGTTTATTAGTTCTCTTTATTTTTTATTTTATTATTATTTATTTTTAAAATTAAATTGATTTATATCTCTAAACTTATAATAACATAATTATTAAATCTTCAAGCATTTTTTTATTTTATTTCGTAATATTATTTACTGTTGCTATTTACTAAATATTTTTCTATATTTAGAAAAATAAAAAATTTTATTTTGAACTTTAGTAAAGAACTAAGCATATATTCAATATTTTAAAGATATCAGTATTTATATCTTTACTCTTCTGAAAATTAAAATATTATTGTTGTTTTATGTATGTAAGATAATGATTATACTCTTTTATTATATATATATTTAAATATATATATATATTTACAATTAATATGATAATGTATTACACTAAATTATGATGAAAATATAAATAAATATATTCATTTGATTGCTTGAAAAAAATTCATCTGTTGTATTTTCATATTAGTCTTATTATTTTTTCCTTAATTGCTATTTATTTTACTTTGTACCTTGTCTAAATTTTCATTAAACTTTAATACTTTATAATAAAACGAATACACATATATAACATAAATTTGAAAATAAACTTTAGCATTATCATTAAACATGAAATTATTTTTCAAATAAGGATAATGATAACAATTATCCATTGAGAACCTATATTGACTTATATGATTATTATAAATATAATAAAACTTCTATAATATTATTACTTTTTATTTTAAAAAATATAAATTATTTAACTATATTTTCTCTTCATAATATTTTTTAATCATTTATATCTTATTGATATGCTTTTTTACTTAAAATTTTTCTGTTTTATATATCTCATAAAACTAAAATTGTGATTATGTGCTTACTTATTTATTTTTTTTTTTTCATATTAATTCAATAGTTTAATTTTTTTAATGATTAAAAAAAAAAATTTTTAAATATTTCAAATTATTTTTTAAAAATGAATAATATTAAGAATTTTTAAGTTTTTTTTTTTTTTTTTTAATTACATATTTTTAAATGTAAAAAGATATAAAAAATAAAAAAATATTGTTATATTTCTTTTATTAATTACTGAATTATGATACATTTTTGATACGTTTCATTAGCAAAGGTTTTGAAAAAAAAAATAAGAAAATATTTTAAAATAAAATATATATAGTTTTTTGTTATGTTTTTTTTTTTTAATAATGCTTAATTTTAACTTGTTAAATTAATATGTAATAGTTTTAGAATCAAACTAATCTTTTACATTTTTATATATTTATTTTTCTTTTTTTGTTTATTTAATTTATTCTACTTCCACATATATCATATTAATTTACTTATTAAATAATTATCCATTTTTTTTCTTTAATAGAATTTTAATAAAAGTATTTTTGCAAATATGTGTAACGAAATAGAGTTTGTACATGAAAAACATATAAAGTATTTGAATAGTTATACAACTGCATCAAATGCAGAAGAGCTAATATTTAACGAAACTCTTAAAATGTGTGGAGTTTTTTATTTCATTTGTTCATGTAAAATATTGTCTCATAAGATAGATAAAAAAGAAGAGTTTATTGAATTTATTCTAAGATGTCAAAATTTAGATGGTGGTTTCGGTAATAATATAAAACATGATTCTCATATTGTGTCAACACATTATGCTATATTATCTCTTCTTTTATTAAATTATTCTTTTGATAACTTTAATATATATTTAGAAAATGAAAAAAACATATTAAGCAATGATAGCTCTAATATTAATAATTGTAATGATTATTTTAAAAATAAAAAAACTATAAGAGAAAAAACATGTGACTATATTATGACTTTAAGCAATGACGATGGCTCATTTAAAGGAGATATATGGGGAGAAGTTGATACTCGTTTTGTTTACAGTGCAGTTAGTTGCTTATCTATCTTAAATAAATTAAATCTAATTTCCACAGAAAAAATATCATCATACTTACTTAGTAATTATGATTTAAATCAAAATGGTTTTTCATGGATAAGTGGTAATGAACCTCATGCAGCTAGTGTGTTTTGTTGTATAGCTACGTTGTTTTTAATTCAAAAATTATACTTGATTGATGAAAAAAAACTAGCAGACTGGTTAAGCTTGAGGCAAACAAGCAATGGTGGTTTTAATGGAAGAGCTGAAAAATTAACTGATACTTGCTATTCATGGTGGATTTTTTCATCTTTAATTATTTTAAAAAAATATAAATGGATTAATAAAAATGCATTAAAAAATTATATTCTTCTTTGTCAAGATTTAGATAATGGTGGCATAAGTGACAACCCTGATTGTCTTCCCGACATATGTCATACTTTTTTTGGTTTGGCTGCACTTAGTCTAATAGACAACCTAAATAAATTAGAAAAAAAATTATCTTTAAAAGAAATGCATCCAGTTTATGCAATTCCTCTTAACATTGTAAAAAAAAGAAATCTACTCTATCATGATATAGATATACTCTAAAAATATCCTTCCTTACATATTATGTTAAATTAGAAACAAAAATTAAAAAAAAAAAAAAAGATTCTCTTAATGTTAGTTTTAAAAAACATAAAAATAAATAATACAAACTACAAAATTATATAAATTTTTGTGAACATAAAAAAAAAAAAAAAAAAAAATGCATATATCTATGTAAATATTATAATTAAATATCTAATAATTTAAAGTAACAGCATAATTTGAGTTCAAACAAAATTTTAAGTTTTATTGCAATTTTCTAAAATTATAAGATATATAATAAACAAAAAAAAAAAAAAAAAAATAATAAATGTAAATAAATGTAATACCATTTATCTTTTTAAAAAACCCATGTATATATTTCATTATAAAAAGAAAAAAAAAAAAAAAAAAAAAAAAAAAAAT